ACACCAATGGTACGGATCGACAAGCTTTTGAGAGCCCTATCCTAGACACATCATGCCCTATTTACGAATCGACACAGTCTGTTTACGGATCGTAAACGAACAGTCCATTCGATACCAATGGTACGGATCGACAAACTTTTCAGAGACCTGTCCTAGACACATCTCGCCCTATTTACGAATGGACACACTCTGTTTACGGATCGTAAACGAACCGTCCATTCGACACCAATGGTACGGATCGACAAGCTTTTGAGAGCCCTGTCCCAGACACATGATGCCCTATTTACGAATCGACACAGTTTGTTTACGGATCGTAAAGGCTGATCTACACAATGCGATTAGTCGCATACGATTCGTATGCTGGCGTATGTATTTGAATAAATGCGTGTAAAGGTTTCCCATTTTAAATTTCGTTATAAACTGATGAACACACAGAGTGACGTTACCAATCTTTTTCATACGTCAGGATAAGAATCGTATACGACTAATCGCTTCGTGTAGATCGGCCTTAAACGAACAGTCCATTCGACACCAATGGTACGGATCGACAAGCTTTTCAGAGACCTGTCTTAGACACATCTCGCCTTATTTACGAATGGACACTGTCTGTTTACGGATCGTAAACGAACTGTCCATTCGACACCAATGGTACGGTTCGACAAGCTTTTGAGAGCCCTGTCCTAGACACATCATGCCCTATTTACGAATGGACACAGTCTGTTTACGGATCGTAAACGAACCGTCCATTCGATACCAATGGTACGGATCGACAAGAGCCTTGTCCTAGACACATCATGCCCTATTTACGAATGGACATAGTCTGTTTACGGATCGTAAACGAACCGTCCATTCGATAGCAATGGTACGGATCGACAAGCTTTTGAGAGCCCTGTCCTAGACACATGACGCCCTATTTACGAATCGACACAGTTTGTTTACGAATCGTAAACGAACAGTCCATTCGACACCAATGGTACGGATCGACAAGCTTTTCAGAGACCTGTCCTAGACACATCTCGCCCTATTTCCGAATGGACACAGTCTGTTTACGGATCGTAAACGAACCGTCCATTCGACACCAATGGTACGGATCGACAAGCTTTTGAGAGCCCTATCCTAGACACATTATGCCCTATTTACGAATCGACACAGTCTGTTTACGGATCGTAAACGAACAGTCCATTCGATACCAATGGTACGGATCGACAAACTTTTCAGAGACCTGTCCTAGACACATCTCGCCCTATTTACGAATGGACACACTCTGTTTACGGATCGTAAACGAACCGTCCATTCGACACCAATGGTACGGATCGACAAGCTTTTGAGAGCCCTGTCCCAGACACATGATGCCCTATTTACGAATCGACACAGTTTGTTTACGGATCGTAAAGGCCGATCTACACAATGCGATTAGTCGCATACGATTCGTATGCTGGCGTATGTTTTTGAATAAATGCGTGTAAAGGTTTCCCATTTTAAATTTCGTTATAAACTGATGAACACACAGAGTGACGTTACCAATCTTTTTCATACGTCAGGATAAGAACCGTATACGACTAATCGCATCGTGTAGATCGGCCTTAAACGAACAGTCCATTCGACACCAATGGTACGGATCGACAAGCTTTTCAGAGACCTGTCCTAGACACATCTCGCCTTATTTACGAATGGACACAGTCTGTTTACGGATCGTAAACGAACTGTCCATTCGACACCAATGGTACGGATCGACAAGCTTTTGAGAGCCCTGTCCTAGACACATCATGCCCTATTTACGAATCGACACAGTTTGTTTACGGATCGTAAACGAACAGTCCATTCGATACCAATGGTACGGATCGACAAGCTTTTCAGAGACCTGTCCTAGACACATCTCGCCCTATTTACGAATGGACACAGTCTGTTTACGGATCGTAAACGAACCGTCCAGTCGACACAAATGGTACGGATCGACAAGCTTTTCAGATGCCTATCCCAGACACATCTGGCCCAATTTACGAATCGATACAGTTTGTTTACGGATAGTAAACGAACAGTCCATTCGATACCAATGGTACGGATCGACAAACTTTTCAGAGGCCTATCCTAGACCCATCATGCCCTATTTACGAATCGACACATTTTATTTACGGATCGTAAACGGACAGTCCATTCGATACCAATGGTGTGGATCGACAAACTTTTCTGAGACCTGTCCTAGACACATCTCGCCCTATTTACGAATGGACACAGTCTGTTTGCGGATCGTAAACGAACCTTCCATTCGACACCAATTGTACAGATCGACAAGCTTTTCAGAGGCCTATCCTAGACACATCTTCCCTATATTTACGAATCGACACAGTCTTTTTACGGATCGTAAAAGAACAGTCAATTCGACACCAATGGTACGGATCGAAAACTTTTTTAGAGCCCTATCCTAGACACATCATGCCCTATTTACGAATCGACACAGTCTGTTTACGGATCGCAAACGAACAGTCCATTCGATACCAATGGTACGGATCGACAAGCTTTTCCGAGGCCTATCCTAGACACATCTGGCCTATATTTACGAATCGACACAGTTTGTTAACGGATCGTAAACGAACAGTCCATTCGATACCAATGGTACGGATCGACAAGCTTTTCCGAGGCCTATCCTAGACACATCTTGCCCTATTTACGAATCGACACACTCTGTTTACGGATCGTAAACGAACAGTCCATTCGACACCAATGGTACGGATCGACGACTTTTTTAGAGCCCTGTCCTAGACACATCTCGCCCTCTATTAACGAATCGACACAGTCTGTTTACGGATCGTAAACGAACCGTCCATTCGATACCAATGGTACGGATCGACAACTTTTTCAGAGCCCTGTCCCAGACACATCATGCCCAATTTACGAATCGACACAGTCTGTTAACGGATCGTAAACGAACCGTCCATTCGATACCAATGGTACGGATCGGCAACTTTTTCAGAGCCCTGTCCTAGACACATCATGCCCTATTTACGAATCGACACACTCTGTTTACGGATTGTAAACGAACAGTTCATTCGACACCAGTGGTACGGATCGACAACTTTTTCAGAGCCCTGTCCTAGACACATCTCGCCCTATATTTACGAATCGACACAGTCTCTTTACGGATCGTAAACGGACAGTCTATTCGAAACCAATGGTACGGATCGACAACTTTTAAGAGCCCTGTCCTAGACACATCATGCCCTATTTACGAATGGACTCAGTCTGTTTACGGATCGTAAACGAACCGTCCATTCCATACCAATGGTACGGATCGACAACTTTTTCAGAGCCTTGACCTAGACACATCATGCCCTATTTACGAATGGACACAGTCTGTTTACGGATCGTAAACGAACCGTCCATTCGATACCAATGGTACGGATCGACAAGCTTTTGAGAGCCCTGTCCTAGACACATCTCGCCCTATTTACGAATGGACACAGTCTGTTTACGGATCGTAAACGAACCGTCCATTCCACACTAATGGTACGGATCGACAAGCTTTTCAGAGCCCTATCCTAGACACATCATGCCCTATTTACGAATCGACACCGTTTGTTTACGGATCGTAAACGAACAGTCCATTCGATACCAATGGTACGGATCGAAAAGATTTAGAGGGGTCTGTAGCTAGGCACATCTCCTTTTTACCAATGGACAAAATCTGTTTACGGATCGTAAACCAACGGTCCATTTGATACCAATGGTACGGATCGACAATCTCTTCATCGCTTTATCCTATAGACACAACTTGCCCTAGTTACAAATGGACACAGTCTGTTTGGGGATACAGCTGTTTACGCCTTAGACACATGCTAGTTTCCATGCCTCATGTTCTAGTCGACAAAATGCGTTTACGAATCGACATGGTCTATTTACGGATCGTAAACTAAGAGTCTATTCGATACCAATGGTGCGAATGGTTGCTTGCTTCTAACGAATAGAAATGCCTAAACCACTTTACCATCCGTATAAAAAATTTTACGAAACGAACGACCCGTATGCTTGCAACAGCATTGGACAACCATCATTTTTAATGAACATGCTTTAGAGTAAATAGAAAAAATATTGCACCAAAGTCTGTATTTTTAGTTGTTTAAAGCAAAAATGCAAATTGAAGCTAGAATAAGCCCGCAATTTTCGATCAGCGCGAACAAAATGCCCACTTGTTGCCCCGATGATGAATACCATGCTTTAAGCTTGCATGGTTCACCATTGACATTGTCCTTAGAATCTGGGATATTCTTAATTTGTCCGAGGTCGCTGGTGCGCATTTTTTGTCTACCGGAAAGTAATACAATGTATCCCCCATTCCTAGGAGCTAGTGTGAACCAGGCCTAACGCTTTGTTCTCATATGTCCCCGACGGTCGGCGATTACTATTGTTGCCGCGCAAAGACAGGTGTCCGATTTTTCGTTATTTCCATCTATAGAATTCATCAAGATATAATCATAATTCGATATTTTACTAATTTTGAAACGCTGTTGTCTAATTTTAGATACGAATTCAAAGGAAATGCAAAATTATAGTTCCTTTCATAAAGTGAGCAGCGCCCAATTATTTTCATTTTCATCTGCAGAAATGACTAATTAAGATATAGTCAGATTTCTGCATAGAGTCTTATTATAATTTCGATATCTGAATAAGTTCAGAATAACATGGTGTTCAGAATAACATTGGTATTTCTCTAATTTCGTAATACCGTGGTCAGTCTTAGTTCCGGATTCTTAGGCAATGAAAAAATTATAGTTGAATGAATTCACAACTTTATACCTGTCATGACCATGCACATCCTGACGTTCATGAAGTGACCCAGTGAAAGCGGCGCCCAATTGTTCGTTATTCCCATCTTCAAATTTGATCAAAATATATTTTGGTTATATAAAAATGTTATATAAATAGCAAGGTGTTCTTGGTACTGCTGCATACATTTTATACCCACAGAATAGATTGGGTTTATAGTATAAATCGTTCTTTTTCCTTATGATTTAATGATTTATGGTTGTCTATTTTTAGGTTGCACTGTTGTAAAGAGTGATGGCACTGAAATTCTCACTTTGCCTGTCAATACGGACAATACCAAATCCTGACAGCCGTGGAGTGTTGTTGTAGGAGCGTTGCCTGATTGCTCGTTAATTTCCCCTACAGAATTGATGAAGATTTAATCAGGTTATTGTGCAATTAATATTTTCACATTTTGAGTCATCTTGTATAGACATTGATAGTGTGGTAGAAAAGTAAACATGTGCATTTTCTACTGGACATAACATTTGTGAATGATTATCATTTGGCATTTTCTATTGATACTTTTGTCTGTTCTTTCGTTCAAATATTTTAAAACATTAGAATGATAACGGTAATGAAATCTAAAAACTTACCTATCATTACTACATCTTGACAATCATGAAGTGTCGCGCAAGGAGAGGTGTCGGAATGATCGTTATTTTCCTCTACAGAATCGAACAAGATACAATGTATTAATCAGGTTTCTACATAGAGTCTTATAAATTCAATATCTGAATAACATGGTGTGTTACTAACAGAATGGAATGACCTTAAGTACTAGTTATTGGTATTTCACTAATTTCGTAATGCTGTTGTCAGTTTTAGTTCCGGATTCTTAGGGCTCTCGCTTACTCATCGCAAAAACTTTGTCCAATCACAATGCTTGTCCCATTTTGAATCATAATGTGCATAGATAGTGCGGTAAAAAAGTAAACATGCATGTAGACACATAATTTGTGAGTAATGATTATTCGTTTCTAATTATTGTTTTATGCATTTTCTTTGTCATTTTTATAGCTGTAGCCATTTTCATTTCTTCACAGTTCTAATAATTTCTACCTTAGCGTATTTCTTACAGATCATTTATTCTAAGAATACCAGATCTTACAAATTGCATTGATTGAATGGGGATAGCCAAGTTTAATTGTTAAATCCTCAAACTTTGTCTCTTCCCATTTCTTGCTTGAACAAACACCGTATCGAGGTCGCCATTGTGTTTTTTGTTAGTCCAATCCATTATGAGTCTGAAAAAAAGTGAAAAAGCAACATTTAATTTCACGTATTTTAGCGGAAAACGTTCAAAACATCAAACCCTTTCGGTGTATAACCAAGGGCGTAACTAGAACGATAATTGGGGAGGGGGTGTTTATTCATATATTGAGTTCTACTCGCGAAGGCATGGTTTCTTTTGTGCATTGCACTTAGAAAAGACATCCGTTTGGCAGAACGAAATGAACATGAATAATCAGCCCTCCCCCAATTATTGATCTATAGTTACGCACCCTGTGTCAAAGTCCTTCATCTTCATTCTTTACACTATATAGTCTAAGGGCTGTTTTTCACTGTCGTGTTTTTTGAACGTACGTACACGCACGTAAAATTTTAAAGCCTTCTAAGTTGTTGTATAGTTAATTTCATGCCAGAAAAAAAAAGCATCAAATCATCAACACAATCCATTTTTCAATCGTTGATTTCATAAGTATCGTTTAAAGGATTTTAGGCTTTTAGGTTCGTATAGACATACGCACAAAAAACGCGACAGTGAAAAACAGCCGTAAATCTTGAACAGTATTTAGTATTAACACCAAGCAACAAGAGTTTTTTTAAAAATATAATGGAGCTATTACTGTCACGAATGTCAACGCCATTACCACTGAAATGAATACTATGAATAAAGAACAATACTATATAAAGTGACTTATTTTCTCCGCGTATACGATACGCCCATTACGATGAGAAATCTCTTTCAACATTTTTATTTCAGATTATGTTGTATTGTGTGAACATTGTACATTTCTGCTTTCCAGCGTCGCAAAACATTTTAAAATGTTAAAATCGTTAGAGTACTGCATGTTGGGAGATGATATAAGGTTTTGAACACATATTACGCGACATAAAAATGAAACACCATGCGATGCCAATGGGTTGATCCGTATCTTTTTTGCCGTTTCATCGCCTTCTTATAACCTTGCATATAGTCAGATATCAGATTTTCACTTCAAATCGACGTCTATCCAAACGCAAGAATCACTTTGTCCCAGATACATGTATAACAGCTTTATTATCACCAAAATCAATAATCATCTCTTTGCATGCATTCTTTCCTCTTACACCTTACTCAATTATAAAACGAGGGATATTTTACGATACTTCATGCATGCTTGAAGAATGCAAATTTAAATCAAGTCCATGATTCTGACGAGATAGAGTCCATGTTTTGACGTCGGTTGAAATATACTACAGCCCATAACAGTGGACTTTGATACAAAATTAAACAACTTACTTGCTTGCTATAATCTCGACATAAATCGCTTCTTGTGTCATTGTAAAAAACACTCTCAATGAATATAAAAGCACACGGGCAAATATCCTACAAATGATAGTGCATTATTGAAAATTATTGAAAAACTTGTTACTTCCTGTAACGGTATTTTCACAGACACATCAACTTTGCCTTTATATATTATTGAGCAATTCTTATTAGGCATTGCATTAAGCCTTCCAACAGATTAAGTTAAAGTACCTAATGAAAGGTAAATAATTTTATGGCAACACAACATTTAGGAACCAGTCTTCGTTTTCGCAATTTAACAAACCAGTCGCCTAACATAACAGTATTTTTCTTCTTGCAGGAGAGTGAACACTATACCTGGCCTGTAGCGATTCCTGGAAAATCGGGATTCTCGCTGTGCTCCCTGACGACAATAGAATCCGCGGGACAATATCTTTTGTCACGTAAATCATGTCTAAAACGGAAAAACATGTCCCGCATTAGCCTGGCACTATACGTATCCTAAACGTGGCACGTGCAAAAACAGCGCACATCAACTAATATAGAGTACATGGGTTCTATGCAAACGCCACAGCCGCTTTTGTTCAATGAAATAGGAATTAGGCGCACGTACGACCAGGCGAGCTGTGTGCATGTTACTTATATTAATTAAAATTCTTGAATTGATTATGAACAGATTTTATGAAGCATTGATAAACGTTTCGCCTTCTTTCATGTCTCTCTACTAATTGACTGAGGTACTATTGCATGAAACAGTACCTAAAACTGGGCTACGTTCGCACACAGGACCGGGAGAGGCTACGTTCGCACACAGGACCGGGAGAATTTTGGACCGTGCTCAAATTCGTCCGGTTACCTCGCGTGAACACGTAGAACTGGTAAAATATTCATTCGTTTCCACTGTGTGAACACCTGAACCAAACGAATTAGAACACGTTTGCGAATTTGTCCGGTCCCTAAGTCACGGATGGGAATACATCTGAGGAAAACTACTGCTTTATTGCTTGCAATTGGGAAGCCAATCTTGTCGACTATGCAAATTGTTGCAAGTTTGGAAGCAAGAAGATGGTAAAAAGGTTCTTAAATTGTTTTAGCATTTTATTTCTGCTATGTATCTAAATATATTTTCGTGATCAATGACAGAGAAAATCATGAATCTCTGAAAAGAATTTGATGATTTGTCATGTGGTTGCTACCACGTATGTACAATGCAAGGTGTATCAAGAATTTTCAACTCAAATTTGTCCTTGAAGATCTGTTCACACGATCCAAATTTTGTCGGATCCGATTAACTTCTGATGGATGTTTTATAGTCAGTTGACTTGCAATGTATATATATATATATATATATATATATATATATATATATATATATATATATATAGTCAGCAAAACAACTAAAACTAATGCAGTACTGTTTTATCAATAACAAACTACATTCCATACGTCAGAAGTGAATTGGATCCGACATATCGGATAGTGTGAACGGACCTTCAATCAAAAGATTTTAGTTACCTTCAGTAAGAAACAAAACTGCATGCCAAAACTGCAAATATATCGTGTAACTTTCCGCATGTACTGTACAATATGCATGTAAACAATGCCAATTACGTTTTAGCAATAGCTATGTCCTACCTGTCTTCCAAGTACCAAAAATTCTTGAACTTTTCGTAACAATATTAAGACGGAGAAAAAATGATGCATACATATAAATATGAAATACTTTATAATTCTTGAAATAGTATTGATTAATTACCTTCACGGGATGATATAGTGCTGCAGAGATGACAACTTCTGGTCCATCTATTTTATGACCGGTGACAGCTGCTTTCGCCTTTTGCTAGAATAAAAAGAGCAAGCTAAATAAGTTTTTCTAGGTTTTGAATTGGAATACCTACTCGCCCCGAATTTCTAGCGTGTTTATCAAATTGAAATTATTGAAAGTCGCTATTCGCTGAAGAAATTTTAAGATTGATAGACGTTAGCTTTATGACTAGTAAGTTTGAACCAAAACCAAAGAATGTTTATATACCTACCACCTGTTCTGAAAGGATGATATAATTCTTTTGTTTGAATGATGCTCTGCGAGAACTCCTGGATTCAGGTAACACGCTGTGAAATACAGGAAAAGTGCTAAATGAGATCAGGTTTTCAAATACATTATTAAACAAGCACAATTACGCTAAAATTACGTTTTGAAATACATTATTAACACAATTACGCTAAAAGAGATACTCTTGATCGAGTCTTGATAGGCCTTTAGCAGGGATGACTAAAACGATGAGAATTGGGGGGGGGGAGTATGTTTATTCATATATTTGGTTCTTCCGGACGAATTTCTTTTGCGAATTTCTTATGAAAATTTAGTCAGGGTTTTATAAACAAATGCTATATTAGATCATACTGTGACTATGTATGTATTATTTAACCAATAGATAATGTTGAACCATTGTTGCTTGAGTTATAGATACATGGTATGGCATCATTTGTGATAAGAACAAAATAGTTGGGCACCACAAAATAGTAGCTGCTGGGGCGAGCCGAAAAAGTTGCCAAATTAACAGGTAAACAGTTCTTTTTTGGTTTCCTCAATACCTGGAAAATTTTTAAAGTGTTAAAATAAGTGTTAAGATAAGTGCTAAAATGTGATTGCCTAACAAAATAAACAAGCAATCACTGATCAAATTCATTTCTGATTAGTCACTCTGTGCATCTGTCCTCTTATACATCATGGCTCTCAACCAATGAAATTGCTTATATTCAACTCAACATCATTATACAAACAACTATTATACAGGACATGGGAGAAGCCAGGATTTGAGCAATCATATGATTCCTTAGGGCAGATACTTTACCATTAAAATTTACCATAAGACCTACTGCATTTCCTTATTAAACGTATTATATTCTTATATTCTTTTTTTATTGTTTTCATCCTGTGGATTTTGCCTGAATTTTAGCAGGGCTTCAACCTCTTGTTACACTCTATAATGTGTAAGGCTGATAGAACACTTTATCTAACAATTAGAATGATCTTATTATCAGGTGGTGACTGCCCACACTGACAACCATGTTTCACATGCATGTATGTGAAATATTAAGGGACTCAAGGAATTGGATTTCAATCAGTTGAATCTATGTATAATGTATAATTACCTTAAGATTACTTGGACTTTGTAGAAACATACAAAAAAGACAATTGAAATATTAAGAATTAAATCTACTACAATATAACATATACACTGCATTGATTTAATTTAGTAAGCTCATGGTCTATGCACAGTACTAGTGAAACAGAACCTGGCTGGTCATTGCAAGGCATGATTTTCAGTATGGGTGAGTTAGTGTGTATAAGCCCACTGGAAATATTCAACACTCCCAAAAGGTTTAGAGCATGCAATCTTGGCATGATTATACTGCATGGTGTTTTTGTAATTATCATTAATCAACTTGTCAATTAGCTTGCACAATATAGGAAGGTGGTAGCAAGGGTCCTGTTGTTAAGAGAAGGGTAAGTAAATTTTTTCACTACACAACTTATTATGACATTCTGGTATTTTATCAGATTTGTACCAATATTATTATATTAGAGATAATTGTACAAAGGCTGGAGAGTACATGCAGTATGTCCACAGGATGATCATTTCTGTACAAAAGCTTGAAAGCTATAGGCACTGCAGCCCAACTATACCTATGCTTGTTATATACGTACTTAATTCATTATTCATAATATATACGTACTTATTCTGTTACATTTATCTTATAAAACCTCAAAATCTTTCCGGGTTGTTGATTGTAATCATTGATTCATTGTATTATCTCACATATTATGTTAATAAAAATGGATTATTTAATTACGCATACAATTATTGTTCCACGTATTTATTAAAATATCTAAAGGTTGGAAACTTTATTCGATGGATAGCGCTATGACGCTATCCAGCTTTCGTACAACCGGTCTCTGCAGTTTTTGGTGAAATGTAAAGAGAAAATAAAAAACCCCTAAAAGTTATAAATACTTCAATTTTACCTACAAACATCTTCAACTTCTGGTAAGGTGTCCTGGGTTATATTGTCCAAAAGTTTTGATCGATCTCTAACATTTTCTTCAAGACTAATATCTTCAACATCAAGTGTTGAGGTCATTTCTTTTTTCACCCGGTTCATCTAAGTCATACGGCTGATAGCCGTGTTTAAAGGCTAAAACGGACGGGCTGGCAGCCGTGTAACGTACGTCCGTTTGTCCGGTCGCCCCAGACTTCATGATGCGCTCAAGATCTGCAGCGCGCATTTACAAGGCCTGGGACTAGGCTGCAAAATCTGGGGCACTTTCCCTAGCTACAGTGAACTAGCTATCAATAATATTAAATTGATCTGTAATTGTGCGCTGTTGTGTCCGGCATTTCTCCCTTGTCTGGCCTCTGTTGTCTGGCTTGCTGTAAGGAATTTTTCACTGATATCCAGGTGAAATATTTGGAGGGAATTTTGTTACAGAAAAAGTGCTCATTTGCAAAATATTTGCATCTAATAATCGATAAATAAATTTTGTTATTCAAATAGCATTGCGCCACAACACACGAAAATATGCGGGCTTTTCCCCGAGATACTGAGACTGTTCACATGATACGCGTGCTATAAAGATGTACCTAGGAACCGGGTGGAAACACCCCTCCTCCCCCCCCGAAAATATAAGAATATAGAGAATAAATATATACCACACTAGCTAGTAGTGTCCTTAAAGTTTTGGCAATCAATCCATCCCTAAAGGCCCTTTTATTAACCAAAACGACCCCTGGAAGCTGGTCCCCCTAGCCCCCAAATCTCTGGATGCCTCCTACGCCCATGTATAGAATAGACCCAGTTTTGCATGAAGCCTTTTATCACCTGGGGCAAAGGGACAAATTATCAGCGAGCTTTACTCAACATGGCACAATCGTCCGGTGAAAAACTCAGATATCGCATTTATTTCGGAAAGATAGAAAGTTTGCAGCATAAAATCATATTCACGGCTGGCAGCCGTATAAAGTACGTCCGCTGTATGGTATATGGTGGTTGAATGGTGATATTAGAGAGTTTGCACCATGAAATCATATTCACGGCTGGCAGCCGTATAACGTACGTCTGCTGTATGGTATATGGTGGATGAATGGTGATATTAGAGAGTTTGCACCATGAAATCATATTCACGGCTGGCAGCCGTATAACGTACGTCTGCTGTATATATGGTGGTTGAATGGTGATATTAGAGAGTTTGCAGCATGAAATCATATTCACGGCTGGCAGCCGTATAACGTACGTCTGCTGTATGTATATGGTGGTTGAATGGTGATATTAGAGAGTTTGCACCATGAAATCATATTCACGGCTGGCAGCCGTATAACGTACGTCTGCTGTATGATATATGGTGGTTGAATGGTGATATTAGAGAGTTTGCAGCATGAAATCATATTCACGGCTGGCAGCCGTATAACGTACGTCTGCTGTATGTATATGGTGGTTGAATGGTGATATTAGAGAGTTTGCAGCATGAAATCATATTCACGGCTGGCAGCCGTATAACGTACGTCTGCTGTATGGTATATGGTGGTTGAATGGTGATATTAGAGAGTTTGCACCATGAAATCATATTCACGGCTGGCAGCCGTATAACGTACGTCTGCTGTATGGTATATGGTGGTTGAATGGTGATATTAGAGAGTTTGCAGCATGAAATCATATTCACGGCTGGCAGCCGTATAACGTACGTCTGCTGTATGTATATGGTGGTTGAATGGTGATATTAGAGAGTTTGCAGCATGAAATCATATTCACGGCTGGCAGCCGTATAACGTACGTCTGCTGTATGTATATGGTGGTTGAATGGTGATATTAGAGAGTTTGCAGCATGAAATCATATTCACGGCTGGCAGCCGTATAACGTACGTCTGCTGTATGTATATGGTGGTTGAATGGTGATATTAGAGAGTTTGCAGCATGAAATCATATTCACGGCTGGCAGCCGTATAACGTACGTCTGCTGTATGTATATGGTGGTTGAATGGTGATATTAGAGAGTTTGCAGCATGAAATCATATTCACGGCTGGCAGCCGTATAACGTACGTCTGCTGTATGGTATATGGTGGTTGAATGGTGATATTAGAGAGTTTGCAGCATGAAATCATATTCACGGCTGGCAGCCGTATAACGTACGTCTGCTGTATGGTATATGGTGGTTGAATGGTGATATTAGAGAGTTTGCAGCATGAAATCATATTCACGGCTGGCAGCCGTATAACGTACGTCTGCTGTATGGTATATGGTGGTTGAATGGTGATATTAGAGAGTTTGCAGCATGAAATCATATTCACGGCTGGCAGCCGTATAACGTACGTCTGCTGTATGGTATATGGTGGTTGAATGGTGATATTAGAGAGTTTGCAGCATGAAATCATATTCACGGCTGGCAGCCGTATAACGTACGTCTGCTGTATGTATATGGTGGTTGAATGGTGATATTAGAGAGTTTGCAGCATGAAATCATATTCACGGCTGGCAGCCGTATAACGTACGTCGCTGTATGGTATATGGTGGTTGAATGGTGATATTAGAGAGTTTGCAGCATGAAATCATATTCACGGCTGGCAGCCGTATAACGTACGTCGCTGTATGTATATGGTGGTTGAATGGTGATATTAGAGAGTTTGCAGCATGAAATCATATTCACGGCTGGCAGCCGTATAACGTACGTCTGCTGTATTATATGGTGGTTGAATGGTGATATTAGAGAGTTTGCAGCATGAAATCATATTCACGGCTGGCAGCCGTATAACGTACGTCTGCTGTATGGTATATGGTGGTTGAATGGTGATATTAGAGAGTTTGCAGCATGAAATCATATTCACGGCTGGCAGCCGTATAACGTACGTCTGCTGTATGGTATATGGTGGTTGAATGGTGATATTAGAGAGTTTGCAGCATGAAATCATATTCACGGCTGGCAGCCGTATAACGTACGTCTGCTGTATGGTATATGGTGGTTGAATGGTGATATTAGAGAGTTTGCAGCATGAAATCATATTCACGGCTGGCAGCCGTATAACGTACGTCTGCTGTATGTATATGGTGGTTGAATGGTGATATTAGAGAGTTTGCAGCATGAAATCATATTCACGGCTGGCAGCCGTATAACGTACGTCTGCTGTATGGTATATGGTGGTTGAATGGTGATATTAGAGAGTTTGCAGCATGAAATCATATTCACGGCTGGCAGCCGTATAACGTACGTCTGCTGTATATATGGTGGTTGAATGGTGATATTAGAGAGTTTGCAGCATGAAATCATATTCACGGCTGGCAGCCGTATAACGTACGTCTGCTGTATATGGTGGTTGAATGGTGATATTAGAGAGTTTGCAGCATGAAATCATATTCACGGCTGGCAGCCGTATAACGTACGTCTGCTGTATGTATATGGTGGTTGAATGGTGATATTAGAGAGTTTGCAGCATGAAATCATATTCACGGCTGGCAGCCGTATAACGTACGTCTGCTGTATGTATATGGTGGTTGAATGGTGATATTAGAGAGTTTGCACATGAAATCATATTCACGGCTGGCAGCCGTATAACGTACGTCTGCTGTATGGTATATGGTGGTTGAATGGTGATATTAGAGAGTTTGCAGCATGAAATCATATTCACGGCTGGCAGCCGTATAACGTACGTCTGCTGTATGGTATATGGTGGTTGAATGGTGATATTAGAGAGTTTGCAGCATGAAATCATATTCACGGCTGGCAGCCGTATAACGTACGTCTGCTGTATGGTATATGGTGGTTGAATGGTGATATTAGAGAGTTTGCAGCATGAAATCATATTCACGGCTGGCAGCCGTATAACGTACGTCTGCTGTATGGTATATGGTGGTTGAATGGTGATATTAGAGAGTTTGCAGCATGAAATCATATTCACGGCTGGCAGCCGTATAACGTACGTCTGCTGTATGGTATATGGTGGTTGAATGGTGATATTAGAGAGTTTGCAGCATGAAATCATATTCACG